TGTTGTTCTGCAGAACATCCTTGCGAGGAATCGGCGTTTGCGCCGTTTTTAGTGGCCGCATTTAGCTTGTTAAAAGCATGAACAATGCGCCACTTGCCGTTCGGCTTTCTGACACAGAACGTGGGTGTCGAGTGCGGAGACTTACTCTCACGCACCATCCCTGCCTCGTGCTTCGCACGGAAGAATGCGTCAATGACGTCACACTGCTCTCTCGGCATATGCCATTGCTTTGTTACGCAGTATTTGGTTCCAGGAACCAGGTTAATCTCATGACACACGCCTCGATCCGGAGGCAAGACCGTCGGTGGGTCTTTTGAGATAACGTCTCCATACGCCTTCACCACCGGGTAGAAGGGATCCGAAGGATCTTTGAGGATCGCTGATCCACTTCTTGCGCTCAGCGCCTTCTTGGTGTCCTCTAGGACCGCGTCGTTCACGACGGATGAGGAGTTCAACTCCTCCTCAGGTCCCAGCAAGACCACCTCGGCTAGCTCGCCTGCCTTTAAGGCTTCGCCAAACTCGGCAATGGACATCTCGTACAGCTCTAGCAGAGCATCTGCAGCTGGCAGAGTATCAAGGCTGATATCGCCTTCTACCTCCCCCGTCACTCCGTTCACGAGTGTATACAGCTGCTCACAGCAATCACGTGGAGCATCACCGCTCGACACGTTAGACACATCGTCCAACGTCGAAGACGTCACAGACGCCCTGCGTCTTCTTCTACTCTCCCATTCGCGACCGAGCCCGGCCGGATGAGGCCGGTGTGGCGACATCTCCATCACCACCACCGGGTGCAGCAGCACCATCACTCCTCGAAGAGGATACATTGTCTCGCAAGACACTCGGCTGAAAGCCAAGAGGTTCTTGACCTTCACACAGTGAGCTAGGTGTCACTCACCTGCATCTCCTGGGGCCACGCCATGATGCCTCGACTCGCAGTCGACCCGCGACCCTCGGGTCACGCAGCGGAAGGGTCATCGACAATATGACCTTTTTTGTACCACTTCAGTGAATTACGGCGCCAACTCCGCGCTCGTCCTCACCAGGACCCAGCAGTTGGGCATTGACCTGATTTTGCACCGGCTCAGCGGATAACGTGCCGCACCACGTACGCCCTCAGGGCAAACAGCAACCTCGTGGCTAACAATTCCGGACATACCAATGTCCAAGCACTACGGCCGCCTCGGCCTCGTGCTCGTGCCAAAAGCGGCTTCTGCTTCCTAGCAGAGGTGGGTTCATGACTCGCCAAAGCTCCACTAGAAGCAGGGTGCGACGCACCCAGCGTTTTCGACTGCCAGTCGATCCATGGCTCATGGCGTTCCAGCCATGGCCATGCCAAGGATGAGGTCATACCTCGCATCCAGGTCTAACACCAAACAGCGTTCCACGCTATCGAAGTTCTCAAACTTCACTCCAAAGTCGACGGAGACCTTCGACACAGTTACCAATGTCCCCGTCGCGAGACGGACAGAGATCGTATCTCTCGTTGGCACTTCCAGTGCCTCAGCATTCAGCTGACTCCATTTCAGGGTGGAGCGACGGGCGTAGTTGCCCGAGGCTCCCGAGTAAATCAAGACTCTCCATGGCTTTGCAAAGCCCTTCACGTTCGCTTGAACGACCAGCAAGCCCGGCTTGCACACACTCTTCTCGTAAGAGAGCTCAGCTCTCTTCGGGGCTGTTGCCCTCTACCTCCTTTTCAAAGAAGCACGTATTGGCATAGTGTTTGGGCTTGTCGATTCCGGCTCGCGAATTGTAGTGTGTGGGAGAGCCTCGCTTAACAGCTTTTACAAGCTGTGATCTTTTTGAATGCGATGCGTCACATTGGAACAGCTGACTCTTCAGTTTTCGGCTGCACCCCAGAAACGGATTCGTCGCCGTAGTGTCTCTCGGTAATTGCCTCGATGTGGTTGGGCATACCTCGTCCAAAGATTCACTTAGTCGGAAGACCGCTTGAGGCACTACTCGAATTACAAGCCATTTTTAACGAAAGGGTGCGAAACCAACGGCCAGATCGAAAACGTGAATCTCCCGTTGCGAGCGTTAACAGCCTTTGCTTCCGACTCAGCGTTAGTGTGGGATTAGACTTGCCACCCCCGAGCCCCGGGCTGGTCTTCAACTCCGATGCTTAAGCCAATTTTGCAGCCTTTAAATGACAAGACGCAGGGCTACCAACGGGCAACCACTGCAACCACTGCCACCACGCCCCAAACGCACGCTTCCCACGCTCTCGCCATCCTTCCAAGCGCTCTCACGGATACGACTACGCTCATTGCCTTTGCTGAGCCGCATTAAACGCATCGACGCTATTCATCGCTCATCGGGACGACATATATTTTACACGCTGCTCGAGGCCCCCTAGCCGTCCTTTGGCTCGGTTCAGCCGGTTGACGCTAGTGGGCGCTCGAGGAAAGGTCATCGCTGATGACAGTGGCGACACTCCACCGTGAAAAGGCCCAGACGGTAAGATTGGCATTACTACATGCAGGAGCGTAGGGACTCCCAGGCGGAGCTTACCGAGTAGCTACGACGCGCTTGTAGTAAGCTCGCTGAGAAAGCGTGCGAGGTAGACGAAATAGAGAGGAGCAGAAAGAAAGAAAAGCAAAAGATGTTCCCACACCGGGACTCGATTCAGGGTCTGCTGGGTGAGAGCCAGCTATCCTTACCGCCTAGACGATATGGAAGGCTGAACAATGAAACCGCACTCAAAATCACAAACCCAACGCAAATACACACACACGCACAACCACTGCAACCACGCCCCAAACGCACGCTTCATACGCACTCGCCATCCTTCCAAGCGCTCTCACGGATACGACTCCGCTCGTTGCCTTTGCTGAGCCGCATAAACGCATCGACGCTATTCATCGCTCATCGGGACGACATATTTGTTACACGCTGCTCGAGGCCCCCTAGCCGTCCTTTGGCTCGGTTCAGCCGGTTGACGCTAGTGGGCGCTCGAGGAAAGGTCATCGCTGATGACAGTGGCGACACTCCACCGTGAAAAGGCCCAGACGGTAAGATTGGCATTACTACATGCAGGAGCGTAGGGACTCCCAGGCGGAACTTACCGAGGCTACGACGCGCTTGTTGTAATCTCGCTGAGAAAGCGTGCGAGGTAGACGAAATAGAAGAAGCAGAAAGAAAGAAAAGCAAAAGATGTTCCCACACCGGGACTCGATTCAGGGTCTGCTGGGCGAGAGCCAGCTATCCTAACCGCCTACACGATATGGGAAGGCTGAACAACGAAACCGCACTCAAAATCACAAACCCAACGCAAACACACACACACGCACAGCCACTGCAACCACTGCAACCACGCCCCCAACGCACGCTTCATACGCTCTCGCCATCCTTCCAAGCGCTCTCACGGATACGACTCCGCCCATTGGCTTTGCTGAGCCGCAAAACCTCATCGATGCTATTCATCGTCTCGTCGGGACGCCATATTTATTACATACTGCTCGAGGCCACCTAGCCGTCCTTTGGCTCGGTTCAGCCGGTTGACGCTAGTGGGCGTTCGAGGAAAGGTCACTGCTGATGACAGTGGCGACACTCCACCGTGAAAAGGCCCAGACGGTAGGTTTGGCATTACTACATGCAGGAGCGTAAGGGCTCGCAGGCGAAACATACCGAGTGACTATGACGCGCTTGTTGTTATCTCGCTGAGAAAGCGTGCGAGGTAGACGAAATAGAAGAAGCAGAAAGAAAGAAAAGCAAAAGATGTTCCCACACCGGGACTCGATTCAGGGTCTGTTTGGCGAGAGCCAGCTATCCTAACCGCCTAGGCTATATGGAAGGCTGAACAATGAAACCGCACTTAAAATAACAAACCCAACGCAAATACACACACGCACAACCACTGCAACCACTGCAACCACGCCCCAAACGCACGCTTCATACGCACTCGCCATCCTTCCAAGCGCTCTCACGGATACGACTCCGCTCATTGCCTTTGCTGAGCCGCAAAAACTCATCGACGCTATTCATCGTCTCGTCGGGACGACATATTTATTACACGCTGCTCGAGGCCACCTTGCCGTCCTTTGGCTCGGTTCAGCCGGTTGACGCTAGTGGGCGTCCGAGGAAAGGTCATTGCTGGTGACAGTGACGACACTCCACCGTGAAAAGGCCCAGACGGTAGATTTGACGCTAACCTAACCGAGTGACTACGACGCGCTTGTTGTAATCTCGCTGTGAAAGCGTGCAAGGTAGACGAAACAGAAGAAGCAGAAAGAAAGAAAAGCAAAAGATGTTCCCACACCGGGACTCGAACCCGGGTCTGCTGGGTGAGAGCCAGCTATCCTAACCGCCTAGACTATATGGGAAGGCTGAACAATGAAACCGCACTCAAAATAACAAACCCAACGCAAATACACACACGCACAACCACTGCAACCACTGCAGCCACGCCCCAAACGCACGCTTCATACGCACTCGCCATCGTTCCAAGCACGCTCACGGATACGACTCCGCTCATTGCCTTTGCTGAGCCGCAAAAACTCATCGGCGCTATTCATCGTCTCGTCGGGACGACATATTTATTACACGCTGCTCGAGGCCACCTTGCCGTCCTTTGGCTCGGTTCAGCCGGTTGACGCTAGTGGGCGTCCGA